GAGTGGTTTGCAAGTCCGAGCCTGGGATCTGAACCCGTGAACTCCAGGCTGCTGAAGCAGAGCATGTGAACTTCACCACCACGCCACCAGCCGGACCCTGGGTCCATATGTTTCGAAACTACTTTCTGGGTGAATTGAATTAGATGAGTTTTTTTGTGTGTGTGTCTGTGTTTGTTTTTTTTTACATTTTGGTAATGAAATCACTGGTTGGAGACTTAGGCAAAGTTTGGTGTATAATAGGATTTACCAGGGTTCCATCGTGATTCTAATTTTATTTTGAACTTCTGTCCCTCACCTTCCTTTTTGTTTCTGTTAAATGTTACTATTAAGTGGAGAAGAAGGTATTTTAATGGCAGCAAGATGTCATTTAGAATTAAACATCCTTCTGCCCTACTGCTCCTAAAAACCATAGAGAGTATCCACAGGAGGGAGTTTCACCCTTGAAACAGCTCTCAGGCTGGGTTTTGCAACCTCCTCACTATTGACATTTCCAGCTAGATAATTCTGTCTTGTAGGGGGCTTTCCTGTGTATTGTAGAATTTAGCAGCACCCCTGGCCTCTACCTGCTAATTGCCAGTAGCACCCCGTTCCCCCAGCGTGCGACGAAAAAAGTACCATGGAGGACAAAATTGCCCCCAGCTGGGAACCACTGCTCTAGGGATAAATGTGACTAAGGAAAAGAAGGTAAAGAAAATAGTGAAGATGCAGAGTAAGGGGGGGCTATTGTTTTTGTTTTTAAATATATTAGTTGTGTATTCCAAAGAAAGTAAATCCTTAGGAGATAGAGCCTGCCAGTAGAATTCCCACTTAACCACCAATAATCTATCCCTTATTGGCTGGAATTTGGTTTGGATTAATACTACAGTTGCAACTCACTTAGAACAAGTATTGATTTTTGGTGCTCTCATTGTCCACTAAAGAACTTCCAGATGTTTATATAACGTGCAAACTTTCTGTGAAGATCCCTGTTCCCTGGGTGCTTTCATAGTGCAGGTTTATTGGGGGGAAAGATGGTGTGGTTGGAGAACAAGATTCAAATGCAGCTCATGTCAGACTTTAATAACTGAATGCATGCATTGAATGAAGAGACATGCCCATTCTATACAGTAATTCAGCAGCTTAATGAATGGGAGGTCAGATACAGGATTTAAAGACAGGTTTCAGTGAATTCACCGTCTTGTACAGGACTAGAAATTGTCCAGAATATTGCATTCTTCCTGTTGAGGATTGCAATTCGTTTTCTCTGTTCTCCTTCTCCTTCCAAACTTACTTCTACAGTAGAATGCTTGAGCTGCCAGACAAGTAGGATCTTGTCTCTACTGCGATTTGACATTAAATGTCCTGTTGTCTTTCAGATTTTCTTTATTTCCTCTCTATTCTCTCTTCACATGAATGTACATGTTAGCCAGGCACATTCTTTTCTTCTCTTTCTGGTTTTCCATCCATCCTGCCCTTGTTTTCTTCCCTTTTCTCTGACTATAGAAAGTGTCAAGTGGCCTTGCTGGCATCATCTTAGCTTTTCTGAACTGTGTTACCCAGAGACTTCCATTTATTATGCTTCGAGCACTCTCTTTAATGCTATATCTCTCTGAGGGACGGTTAATGATCTTTGCAGCAAATGAAGGTGAACTGTAGCCACATTATTGTTATAATACAGCCAACTGTATGGAACAGATTGGGCTGAGTTTTGAACAGCTGGGGCTGGCAGAGTGAGTCCCGACTCCTCTCGGAAGAGTTCCAGAACTGCCAAATCATCAAACTTGAAGGGGAAAGAGGGACAAGAAAGGTTATGAGATAGTGGTTCCTGCGGGTGCTTTTTGCCTTTGTGGTCTACCTTTCTGAGATTTTCACTGGTTTGTAGATCAGGCAAAGGCTGGACTAATTGAACCCAGGGGCTGCTGTCACTGCTATTGGACCTGCCTGCTTAGTGGCTGTGATGGTATTTACTGTTCTTTTGCAGCTATTGAATGTGTGTTAAGATAGATGCTACTCTTATTAAAACTTGCGCTTCTCTTCAGTCCGTTGAAACTGTTCGTAGTTTTAAGGAGAGTTTTGATTTGCAAAGTGTATGGAACTGTAATATAAATTAATAAGGGCTGCATTGAAACTTTTGGACTTGGACTATCGTGTGGCTTCCGGGTGGGTATATAAATGGGATTCAATGCGGTGTAGGGTGGCTATGGTCTAGTTAGTGGCCTGCAGAGCCTGATTCAGCCTTCACATGTGTTGTATTTGCCCATACAAGGAAGGATGTGTGTGTATTTAAAGAACTAGCTGCCAGTATTTAAAGATCTGGTTGATTTTTCCAGAGAAGCCAGATCTCATTTCCCTAGCACTGCGGTCTCCCATGGGAAATACCAGCTGAGTCTCAGTTACAGCTGCCCCATATGTGTCCTGAGTGGGTACAGCAGGGGCTTCGCTGCCCACTAGAGTCCTCACCTCACACCCTCACAGCTACTTCTTGATTGGCCCCTGTAGGAGAAGTTCAGGAGAGAACAGATAGAGGCTTTGGGATGGGGAGGAACTGAGTTTGAATCCTAGCTTCACCACCAGCTCTGCCAATTTGGGCAAATTACTTACTTTTCTGAGTGTTTTTCTTCATGTGCAAGATGGCATATGGTTCCTTACTTCTTATGGTGGCTGCAAAGTGTATTAAGTGAATAGCATATTCGACAGCCCTGAAACAGAGCTGTGTACGTGTGTCATAGGATTGCTACACATGTTAGCCATTGCTGTAATTTTCACGTGCTGTGTATCGTGGGTGAATGGATACCAATTCTTTAGAGTCACATTGACCATGTTATAAAATCAGATAAACACCTCTACTACTCAGGACAATGAGGGGATTATGTACTTGGGCTTCCCATATTTCTGTTTTTGTCTTGTAATATAAAATTTACAGTGTCTCTAAGGGAATAATACAGTAGAAACTGAGCTCTTAAGGGTGGCACTGTCTAATGAGAGAAAAATCTTGAAATTTAGGTCACATTAGGTAGACCCTTGGTTTCGTTTTGACTGGGTTATGACTTTGTAATTTTGGATCTAAACTCTTGAAGTTTCTGTCTCCCCATCCTTGTCCCAATTATATTCAAAATCAAGTTGATAGTCACCCTGAGGACTGAAGACACTCAGAATCTTCATGGAAGGAAAGGTACAGAAATGAGAAAACTAAATCAATTAATATATTTTCTTAAAAGTGGGAATTAAATTTAGTTTTTGTTAGGCTTGCAGTGTATGGAAGGCAGCGTTTTATCACCACTTTGTGCTCCCAGAATCTTGAAAATTTCAAAGGATTTTTTTCTACATTATTACATTCCTTTGGCATTTTTCTAATGCCTGACCTTTGACATTTATCAGAAGGTTCCAGCACACATTTGGCTGCCACACTAGGTTGAGGGCAGGGGCTTCCTGGTTATTATATACGTGGTTGAGAAATACAGGGTTTTCCGCCTATTTTTCTACTTCCTGCAAAGATGGGTTTCCTTTAGATGTGGATATTTCCCTTAAATGCATACTCTTGTCTCAAAATGGTAAAAGATAACAGTACAATAATTTCCTCTTACGCTTTGTGAAGGTGTTTGGAAAACTCGCATGGGTTCCAGTGGAGGCTTCTTAAAAAGAAGGCGACAAGGTGGCTAGACAATGTCAAGACGGTTCTGGGACCAGTGGGAGAAAACAGATGTCAACGTGACAAGGGATTTGGGGTTATCTCAGTTATAGAGTTCAGAAATCAAACGCTGTGGTGGTGTAACCAGTTATGTTTTCAAGTGTTGTCTTAAACCCACCTTGGATGAATGAATGTCATTATTAGGAGAGAACGTCCTGGAACAGAAGACGTGAGAGGAGAAAACATTATTTTTAGAGCCCTATTTTAAAAAAATTTATGAATGGAAGCATAAGTCTGCCTCTGGATCTTGAAATTGGCCCAAACCCAGATCTGGTTCCAGGTGACGACTCAGGATCCCTCCTTGTTCCCCGCCTCCACCTGACACTGTTGAGGGAGGAGGTCAGGAGAAAGAGGGAAGGAGACGAGAGGAGGGTGTGGCTGAAAATGAGAGGATGAAAAAAATGATGATTCTCTGTACTTTATAAACGTTTTGTCCAAATCACCAAAAGTATTTTGGCATGTTTAAATGTGAGGAAATATTTAGGTTGATCCATATGAAATTGTCTTTATTTCAATTATACAAAAATGACAATTTTACTTAGTTCAATCAAATACAATTATTGTAGTTTTGCTGGAACCTCTACAGGTCCTCTGACTGCGTGTATGGAGTGGTTTGAAAAGCTAGGAGTGTTTTGGTATTCAATTGGTGAATTTTTTTGCATATCCTTTGCTAGATTATACAGGTATTTTCTATTTGGATTTTCCTTGTTATCAGTTTTTTCTAAAGTTAGAGTTATTGCCTCAAATCTCATAGTACAGGAGACTGAAAGGAGAGCACAGTGTGAGAGTGAGTGAATCCATTGGAGTCTTGCCAGAACATTCATCTGGGGGTCTGCATGGCAGACTGGGTTTGGCTGTGGGATACCGGAGATCCAAAATCAGTTTTTTTCATGTTTGTTTAAAAAATAAGAAATGGCTGTGAAAAGATGAACAACCATCCGCGTGGACATGATTTATTGCAACCTGTTCTTAGTTGGGATAGACTGAACCTTGTTGCAAGTTGTCAAGTTTGCTCACGTGGGCGTTTTTTCCCCTATTTTTGTGGGTCAGAATGCTTCCATGAATACTGTTGTAGTTTGGGCAAGTAACAAACTCGCTTAGTCAAGAAAAATTAGCAGTCTCTAAGGAGGCCTGGAGGTAGTCCAATCAATGGTCCTCTGATGGTGGTGGTTGGGGTAGTGGGGTCTGTGTGTGTGTGTGTGTGTGTGTGTGTGTGTGTGTGTGTGTGTGAGATTCATGGCAGGAGGTTTGTTCAGAGTGAAAGAGACAGATGCTTCCTTCGCTTGCTTGTTTCCTGGTTTCAAAGCCTCTTTTTTTGTTGTTTTATTTTAAGGTTGAGTGCCCCTGTTGGTCTATCATGGAGGGCGAGGAGAGCCTACAGGCGCATGCGCCCACCTCTGTAACTTGCTGTTCCTTGTGTCATATCAAGTGGAAGTGCGAAGCACCACAAACTGCTTTGAGCAGAGCCCACTTCCCTTCACCCACAGAGAACGTGAAGCAGTTATACCAACATCAATCAAGGAAAACCCACAGGCTGAACTCACACCGTTGAAGCAGGTGCGTGAGTGAGCATTCTCCAACAGGCGCATGTGATTGAGGTGTACCTTGGCGTCTTGCCCATAGATGTCAGTTATGATGATTGTGTGGGGCTGCCCCCTCCTCGCAGAGCTAAGACAAGCCCCTCCTCCTTGTGAGACAGAGCAATTGTAGCTGATGGCATCCCAGTAGCTGATTTACTGAGACTAAGGGGGAAAATGCAAGGTGTAATGTCTATATGTGTGGGTACCTATATGTCAATCAAATATATATCTGCATATGTATAAATGTGTGTACATACATATATGTACATACATGTGTGTGCGTGCATGCACACATACACATACCAATTTAAAGCAAAACTTAAGTGGGCCCTGAGATAATGAGAGAATATGAACTTCTAAGTTGTTAAGTGTCTGTAAGATGAGGTGCTAGTAAAAAAAAGGCAAAATAAAAACCCCAAGCGTGTCTCATCTTAAGTTGAACCATTTTGATGTGTGTTGAGTTTTAGGAAATTTCTCCAAAAGTTTTGAGCAATCTTAAAAAAAAAGATGGGAACAGTTAGCACTAGGACTTCAATATACGTTGTACCTTTTTAGTAGTTATTAGTTGCTCAAAGATGCTTGTCCATGATACTGACTATGAGTCTCCCTTCAAGCTGATGCTTCAAAATATTATGCATATTATTTGTATTTAAATATGTGAACAGTCACTCTCTAAGCAGCGTAAAGTCAAACAAGATACAATTTTTAACTATCAAAACTGGCTACGTTTGAGAATAATTATAAAATTCAGTGTCACTGTAGGTTTGGAAAAAACATACTACTTGGGGGAAAATGTTTTATACTATCTGGAGATTATTTTGCAACATATAAGGTCAAAAGCCACAAAATCTGCTTATTCATATTTCTGGCAATACAGCTTCTAGGCAGATTTGTTCTAAGACTATGATCAAACATGTGTAAAATGATTTTATTACAAGAACACTTTATCACAAACTTACTTTTCATTTATTTTATTATAAATGTCTAAAGAGTATTAGGGTGGTCAAATAAATTACAGTAGAAATGTACAATAAAATACCAAATGAGGCATTAAAATAATGTCATTTTTCTATGATCCTATTTTTAAAAAATACCTGTGTTGCCTGCATGCATGAATGTGCAGGCATTGGAAATAGTTTGGGAGATTATATAGAAACCTAAAAGTTGTTATTTCTAGGTGACTTGAGAGTAATTGCATGTCTTTATTTTGCCTGTCTGTTCTTAACAACTTTCTAATACTCATATGAATTACCTATGTATTAAATATAACAAAAGGCAATCATGGAGATAGCATCTTAAATGTAAAAGTTATCTAGAAATATTTGTGAAGACCAGTAAAGGAGAAAGCTTTTCTTTTTTTCCGTAGATAACTGTTCAGCAGAAGATGTCAAACACTATCAATTGATTAGTTCAACAATATATGTGTGCCAGGCACTGTATGAGGCTCTGCTGTGTTGCTGTGTGCTTTTCACATGGCAAATGGCTGATGGAGTTCTATTTGCTATGCTGATTAATATGACTTTACTAACAAAGTTAGTAACACTAGTATGAAAATTCGAATATGGACATGTACATATTAAGATGAAACCGTGACCTTTGGCTTCATTTTCACATGTGTGTTTTGTCTGCTCTCTACTGGGTCACATGGTTAAACTTTTCCGACCATGTGGACAGTTGGCAATTTCAGACATCTGGAGAGCCAAGAGCAGATACAAAAATCACTGGGAAAACTTGACACCGTTCATGAACACTTTAAAGGACACTAAAAAGGCTTATCGGCAAGTGCTTTGAAAAATCTGACCTCTCCTTATTTTGCGGGTTTTTGGCTTTGAAATTCAATCTGAGTTTAATGTTCAGCAGGTGTCCTTTGAGGAGTTAGGACAGGATTTCAAGGGTGGGAGTTTAGTGTGATGAATTCAGTGTTTGTCATCTAGAATGTTGAGACTGTGGAGGATATAAGTAGGAGGTTTAGACTAGGGATGTCTGACTAGAGGGGGCTCAGGATTCGGACAGACTTGAGCTACTCATCTCGAAGTTTAAATGCTTCTCTGAGCTCCCACGAATATCCCCAAAGGGCAGTCTTCTTCTGAGGCCCAGGCTCTATCTGACTGCAATGATCCTAGAAGTATAACTTTCCATGTGGCCTCTCAACCCTTTGACCTCTCATTCTGGTATGAGATTAGAAATTTAAAAATTTCAACTTGAGCTACCCAGGGCTCCAAAATGAAAAGATTTTTCATGAGTTCAGCTATAAAGATAGCAAAATTCTTGAAGAAGGGTTTGTTTTGGACGAGTATCAATTTGCCAATTTGCTCTGTGTGTGTGTGTGTGTGTGTGTGTGTGTGTGTCTGGGGGATTGATTCTGGCTTCTTGAACTTTCTTCATTTCTTTCCCATTGGTGAAGGGAAGAAATTAAACTTGGTATCTGCTTCTATTTCCATTGTCCAATGAATCAGGAGAGTTAGCTCCATCTGTTACTCCACTGCTGTTTTGCTGTGATATTGTGGGAAAATTTGTCATATTCACTTCCTCCTTTTTGTCTCGATCCTTCTCTCATGTTAAAACAGATACGGTGCCGTGAACTGATTGTCTTGGGATAATGTGAAATATAAAGGGAAGAGTTTTAGCTATTCCTGAGATGAGCTCAGAGTGAGAAAATCAATGATTCAAGGAATCACTTGCCTTTAAAAAAAACCCCACTTGTAAATAGAACAAGATTGAAAAAACTGTGTTTTTAGGCAGGCTAATCTAATCACACAAAAGGAAGCCTGTTTTCTTACTTGCTGGATCACTTCCATTTTATATTCTCACAGGGAACAATATATTAAGTACAGTATTAGAAATATTTGTTGAATCCTACTGTCTGATTTTGGCAGATCTCAGGGAAAGAAAGAATATGTCTTGGACGACTCGAACCTTCTTGGGAGGATGTTAGAGTTTTCCCAGAGAGGCTGGCTTCACTTTGTGGGAAACACTGGTTTGGTAGATAACACTGTTAGAATTTACATTTCAGAGGGCATTGAGTTTTCTTGAGATTTTTGGAGCAGCCACAGTGGATCTTGTCTCTCTCAGAATCTGTAGAAACCCAAAGTGAACGCTAGTCTTTCCTTATGAGGATGTTGTCATTTCCTTTTGAAGGGCACCCTAGCTTGTCACCCCCTCATCCTGTTACAGCAGCAGGCTGAGCTCACCAGCACCGAAATATCCAGCATCAGAAGAGAAGATGTGGGTGGTGACAAGGGAGAGTGGTGGAAGGATAGGGCCTTATGGAGGGAAGTGGCCACTGGCCAATGCTTTTTTCTTTTATGGACTATTGAAGCGTCAACATTTTGGCAAAATCTTAAGCTAATTTTGTTTAAATGTGATCATCACATGGCACTGACTGAGTAATTGAAATGTGTGATGAAAATAAAGATGAAATATTTAGAAATAATGTTATGGTCCCTTTCTTTAAAAGTGTGTGGTAAAATAAAAGTGCGTTATTATGAAGAACGTAAATGAAATAAATACTTTAAGTTTCTCAGCATGTATCTGGCATAAGGTCATTTTAATAGATCTTATGCAAGGGCTTATCTTACAGCTCTATTCCACTGGTTGCTTAAGGCGCAGTAGACATATCTGAGCAAGTTCTTTGCTCTTTAGCTTGTAACTTTGGATGCCATTTAACCTATAATTTTTTATCTCTAGAGTGGAGGTAAGAGCATCATCCTCAGAGAGTCTTTTTAAATAAATTTTATTTTAGAATAGCTTTAAATTAACCAAAAAGTTGCAAAGATTGGAAGAGTGTCTTCATATGTCCTTCACCTACTTTCCCTTATTGTTAGCATGTTACCTCACTATGGTGTGTTTGTTAAAACTAGGAACCAACATCTGTCCTTTATTGTTAACTAAACTCTACAGTGTATTTCGATTTCACTAGTTTTGCCCTAATGTCCTTTCTCTGTTTCGGGATCTCATCCTGGATGCTATCTCTCCTTAGACTCCTCTGATCTGTGACAGTTTCTCAGACTTGTTTTTGGTGACCTTGACAGTTTTGAGGAGTACGGGTCAGTGTTTTGTAGCATGTCCCTCATTTGGGATTTGTCTGATATTTTTCTCAGGATTAGCCTGGGTTATGGGTTTTTGAGAGGAAGACCAGGGAGGGGAATCACCATTCTGAACACATCATACCAAGGGTATATGCTATCAGCATGGCTTATCACTACTGATGTTGACCTGCATCAACTGGATGAGGTCATACTTGCCAGGCCTCTCCACTGTAGAGTTACTCATTTTTCCCCTTTTTCATACTGTCCTCTTTGGAAGGAAGTCACTAGGCACAGCACGTAGGATTGTTTTAAGGTTTAAGTGAGACAATAAAGCTCTTAGCACAGAATCTGTGCTTAGAAAGCGTTCACTAAATGTCGGTTATTATTGTAGTTATAGTATTTCACGAGTCCCCTTCAATAGCTAGAAGCCAGGACTCTTTAGAGCTGCTTCCTCATGGTTATTTAGTTCTCAGTCTTTCATTGATGTTGACCCAAAAATAGAAAATAAGAGTGCTCACAAACCTTTTAAATGAGATGACTGTACCCCAAGACAATCTAAGATGAAGAGCTATGAATTCACTCAGGCTTTACCGCTGAAAGTCTACGCTAAACTGGGGTCATCAGCGTCTGGTCCTGTTTCACTGGAACGTGTCCGTGATCGAGGAAGAGCGTGGAGGTGAGGGTGTCCTGGCTAGTCTTGGCCATGACCGGGACAAAGAAAGCAGTTGAGGAGCTGAGACTGCATTGTGGTGAGATCTATTTTTCTTGATCAGAGTTGATAGTTTTCAGGTAGAATTTAAGAGTTCGTCTTAGAATAAACTGTCTTCGGCACTTCTCTGTAAAACGAGGGCCTTGTTCTGCAACCCGAAATGCTTGAAAACCCATGTAATTGTTGCTAGAGTAGTTTGCCGAGCCTGGATAATAGAGCTTGGAGTCCTGTGTAACCATG